AGTGGGAGAGGGAGAAGCAGGCTCCCCGCTGAGCAGGGAGCCCGATGCGGGGCTCGATCCCGGGACCCTGGGATCATGACCTGAGCCGAAGGCAGCCACTCAACCAACTGAGCCACGCAGGCGCCCCATAAAGATCATTGTTGAAGGAAGACATAGGTGGAGATCACTGAAGAGTTTCTTCAAGATGTGGTGGTCCCAACAGTGTGCAGTTGGAATCTGGGTGCAGAATGACCCTTTGTGGATGGTGGTGTACCTCGATTCAAAACTTGAACAGCTGAGATGCTTATGTTGAAGATATTAGCCCAAATTTAAATAAAATGTGAGAGTGGAAAAAGTTGTTTCCAAATGAGTGTGCTTTCCATGTTGTGTGAGTTTTGAGATAATTATAGATTCAAATGCAGTTGTAAGATATAATACAGAGATTCCTTGTACGCTTTGCCCAGTTTCCCCCAAAGATGACATCTTCAAAACACAACTGTATGATATCACAGCCATGATACCAACATTGATGAATCATGATCTTAGATTTCTCCAGTTTTGCTTACACTGACATCACATGGCTGTGTCATACGTAGAGTCCTGTACCCACTGCCACAGTCAAGACAGAGTATTTCCATCACCAGGAGGATCCCGTCTCCCTTCCGCTCCCTCTTCAAACCACTAATCTGCTCTCCACTTCTAAAATTGTATCTTTTCAAAAATATAAACAAATGGAACTTGTGAATATTAATAAAGGGAAACCTCACTAAAATGGAATAGGGAGGTTCCACAGGTGAAGCTCTGAATTGCAGACACAAAAAGAACAGAGGGACCTCAAAAGTAAGTCAGTGCCCCTGTAGTTACTACTTTATCCCAGAGGAGGAAAGTTTCCTTCTCCCCCAGCAACAGCCCAGCCAATGAGAGACTGCCCCCACTCAGCATGATTACCCTGTGATTCCCCCAACTGCTTGGTGTATGAACAGTCCATTCCCACTTAGCCCCATTCCATGGTGTGGATGCACTGTGGTTGGCTTAACCATTTGCTCACTAAAAGGCAAATAGGTTGTTTTCAGTTTTGGGGTATCACAAATAAGGCTGTTGCACACATTTGGGTATAGATTTTTGTTGAAAATATGTTTTTAGTTTTCTGGGATAAATGCCTCAGAGTGAAACTGCTGGGTCATATGATAATTACATGTTAGTTTTATAAAAACTGTTGACCTGTTTTCTGCAGTAGCTCTACCATTTACATTCTTAACAGCAATGAATGAGTAACTGAGTTACCCATAACCTCACCAGCATTGGATGTCATTGGTTTTTCTTTCAGCCATTCTGAAAGGTGTATAGTGGTATCTCATTGTGGTTTTAATTTGTATTTTCCTAATAGCTAGTGATGTTAGCCATTCATCATCACTCACCATTTGTATATTCTCTTCAGTGAGATGTCTTTTCATGTCTTGATAATTGGGATTTTTTTTTTTTTTTTACTGTTGGGTTTTGAGGGCTCTTTATATATTCTAGATACCAGTCCTTTGTCGGATATGTGGTTTGCAAATATTTTTCCCCAGTCTATGTTTATAAAACCCTTTTGATAGGAGTAGCATTAGGTCCATAGATCAATCTGGGGAGAACTGACATTTTTACTGTGTTGAGTCTTCCAATCCATTTTTTTTTTTAAGGTCTTCATTAATTTCTTTCATTTGTGTTGCATAATTTTTAGCATACAAGTCCTGTGTACAGTTTGTTAATTTTGTACCTGTTGACCTTAAAAATAAAAGTCAGTTATTTTACCAGCAAGAAAAAAAAATGAGTTTACTCAGGAATAGCAAGGAATTGCAATGCAGGACAAGCAAGCTGCAGCCAAAATCATAGGCTAATCCAAAAAACAAAGGAGAGGAATGTTATTTGAAAGAGAAGAAGGAGGAAGTTGGAAGGGGTTATTGTGAATGAAAGTCCACTGGAGAAAGGCAAGAGCCTACCACGGTGGCAGTTTCTCACCGGCTAAGTTGCAGGGGTGGTTAATTTCTTGTAGGAGATGCAATGCACATCTTTTCCTCTTCAGGCCTGTAACTGATGATTCTTTCCTATTGATGATTCTTCCGTTAGGATCTGTACTGGCAATTTTTTTTTTTAAAGATTTTATTTATTTGAGAGAGAGAGTGAGAGAGAGAGCACAAGAGGGGGGAGCAGGAGAGGGAGAAGCAGACTCCCCGCTGAGCAGGTAGCCCAATGCGGGACTCGATCCTGGGACTCCAGGATCATGACCTGAGCGGAAGGCAGTCGCTTAACCAACTGAGCCACCCAGGCGCCCTGTACTGGCAATTTTTGACATTGAATGGTACAGCATGAGAGCTCCTCCTTCTGGACTCCTGACTCCATTTTTGTTGAGGTTTCCTTTTATTAATTTTTACACACCCAAGTGTTTAATTTTCCGAAGTAATTGTAAATGTTATTGTGTGTTTAATTTTAGTTTCCGCATGTTCGTTGTTTGCATGTAGACCTGTGACTGTGACCTTACTAAGCCTACTCCACAGAAGAGCCCTAGGGATGGGGAGGAGGCCCCCGTCCCCTAGCTGAGCAGGAGAGTCAGAGGTGGAGAGGGACAAGAGTGCCAGGCTTGTCTCATGTCCACCTATGTCAGCCGCATCGAGATCACAGGTGGCCTTAGGGAGAGTATTATTTGGAGAGTAGAAGAGATGTCTGCGGTGGACTTCTGGGTGGGGAGGAAGCTGGAGAGGAGGCTGTCCACCCACAGGGGAGTTCTTATGGAAGAGAGACAGCTGACACTCCCTCTTCTCTGCCTTCCAGCTCTCAGTTCTCTCCCCACTCTGCCCCAGCTGTTTCGTCAATTGTCAACTGAAGATAATAACCCCACCGGGGGAGGCTGACTGCCCCCAGGTTCACCCTTGTGAAACTGCCCTTTCCCTGGGCAGGACAGGCTGGCCTTGGACTCCACCTTCCTCCTGGGCCAGCACCACCTCTGCCCACAACAGGGCCCAATCTAATGACTTGTCTGGATTCGAGACTCTTTGCAAACTGACCCCAGCCTCCTCTTCCATGCTGGCCTCCTGCCACTCCTTGTGCCTTGTTTGGACGGCAGGAATTGGGGGTGGTGGTGGGGGAGGGGACCTTTCCACAACCCCTTCCAGGAAATGCGGACCTTCTGCGGGGCTGAGTCACTTCACCGATGCCCTCTCCTGTGCCCACCCACGTGGGCGCGTCCACCTCGGTGCCCACACAGAGTTCGTGACCTGTTTGGCCCCTGCGAGGGGACTCTGTCCCTGTTTCTGGGGCAGAGACTTCCATCCTGGCTAATGGAGAGGGTCTAACTTCATAACCGGTGCCTTTCCCTCCAGGCGGCGCAGTGACTGGCGACCCTGGGGGCTGGGACTGATCCCGAGCGCCCCGCCCCGCGCGCCTGGCACCACCTCCCAGGGCGGTCCCGGCCCAGGCGCCGCTTTGCTCAACTCAGCGGCGGGAGCGGCGGGCGATGGCCGGAGCGGAGGAGGACGGGCCGGGGGCCGACGCGACCTCGGCCCTGGGCGCGCTGCTGGGCTACCGCGCCTACGCGCGCCGCTGGGTCTTCTTGCTGGTGCTCAGCCTGCTCAACTTCTCCAACGCCACGGTACAGGGGTCTCGGGCTGCCTCTCGGCGGGGGCGGGGGGCGGGCCGGGCCGAGCTGGGCCCCAGTCCGAGTCATCGCGCTCCTCCCACCTTCCCGCGTCCCAGTGCGCCCAGGGGTCTCGCTCTGTAAGGACCCCGACCGGACAGTGGGACCGCTGGGAGTGAGGGAGCCAGCGACCTCAGCAGGTGCGGAGGCGCGGGACCAGAGGCCCTCCTCCTGGCTGCACAGGGAGAAAAGGGGCTAGCGTCTGTCCTCGTGGTGTCAGAGCCTCGTTCCTGTGACCTATAGTGGTTTCGAAAGAATCCCTCTCCTGCTTCAGGACGACGCGGGAGTCACTGTCATAGCTGAAAAGGGTCTTCCAGTGGCCCCACTCCCTTCTGGAAGACCCGACAGCTGGCAACAGGCCTCATGATCTGGCTCCCGCCCTCCGTCTCCAGACTCCCGAGCCCACTCCCACAAGGCAGGGCAGGGCCCAGCCGCCTTTGCTTACCTGTGCCCTGGACCTGTGCCGTGACTCAGTATGGAGGCTTCCTTATCTGTACACCAGTCTCTCTATAGCGCCCCAGCTGGGGTCTCCAGGGACTGGTTACCTGTTCTAGAATGGTTCCCACTGCTGGCAGGGACTCAGCCCCTGAGACCAGTTGACCAGCCACTGAGAGCAGGATCTGCCAGTTACTGGGGCCCAGCTTCCCAACCTGCCTCTCCCCAGCTCACCCCTGAGCCCCCAGTTCTGCCCAGGGGCTTGGGCCCCTCTGTCCCCAGCCCATCCCATACAGTGGGCTCAGTGGAGTGGACTTTTTGCTGCCCCCAGCCCCTTGCGCCTTGGACAGACACCCACAGGCACGTGCATGGAGGGAGGGCTTGGAGCTAGTCTTCCCATACCTGACCCTCTCCTGGCCACCTGCTCATGGGGTCCGGCTGTGGTGCTGCCACACACTCCACTGGGCCACCCTGCGTATCTCTTCCTTGGTGCGGCCACCTCCACCTCCTGAGTGTGCCTGAGGGAACTTGCCCATGACTGCTCAGCTTGCCACAGAAGCCCAGGGACTGGTCAGGCAGCATTTGGGCGCCAGGTCATCATGTAGTGAAAAGCTACCTTGGCAGCAGGATCCACAGCTGGGGGAGGCTGTGAGTGGCCGAGGGACAATCAGGAAGTTCAGACCCATGAGCAGGGACCGGCAGGCAGGTATGGACATTCTGGGCAGACACTGCCTCAGGGAGGTTCTTGAGCAGCAGCCACTCTTGGATGTTATTCCAAACTGACCAGGACCTTTTTCCTCCTTTCCTTGCCAGACTGGGTATGGAGAGCCAGCCGTGTGCTGCGACACGTGGCGTCCATGGCCTGGGCTGAAGTCTGCTATGAGTCTGGAAACCTTTTTCTGTGGGACCCACCACTGTGGCCTCCACCAGGTCCCTGTCTAGCTGGCTAGGAAGCCAGCATTGGTTTTTGGTGCAGTGGTCTAAGGACACAGAGCAGGGGTCTCCTTCAGCCCCTAAAACTGCTTTGATGAGTCTGAGAGTGGATGGGTATCACGAGTGGCCTCAAGAACTCCCTTGGACACTGAGGCAGCATCCTGCTCACTCCCCTTCGGTCCATGAGTTATTATGGAGCAAACAGGACTCTCACCAGGAATTGTGATCCCTGCTCTGGTCACCACAGCGAGCACTGACCATCAGTCTTACCCCATCCAAGTCCACGTGTGTACTTCGTCTGCAGCTGGGCGAGCATAGGTCCCAGGCTCTGAGAGGGCAGTGTCAGAGGCAGGTGGAGCAGTGCCTGGAGTGAGGTCTGGGGGGCCCCAAAGTGGTGTGAGGAGACGGCCCAGTGGTCTGGGCAGGAGCCAGCATGCGGGGCAGCTATTGGCATGCTCAAAGGGAGGTAGCTGGGAGCAGGTTGAAGGGAATTCTTTTGCACTGGGGACACATTGTTGTCTGGCACAGTTTAGACCTGTCTCTGCTCTGCCGGCCACAAACCTGGGGAGGAACAAGGAGTGGGCTTGGCTCAGCAGGGCAGGTTTAGAGAACAGATGCCATGCTTTCTCTCAGCTGGATCGGGCTGGGCAGGAAGCAGCTGGACCTGCATGGGGTCTCTTTCTGTACCTGGAAGATCTGTCCTCTGCTTTGCCCCTAAAAAAGAAAAAAGGAAGAAAAGGCAGCTGTTGCTCAAGTTCTCTGTCATGTGAGGCTCTGCAGTCAGTATCTGCTTGGGTCAGCAAGCCTGGATCTCACCCGCCTCACCACAGAGGGTGTGGTCTGGGGCCAGCTTCTGCATTCCCGGTCTCACAGAGTTGCAGTGATTGTGAACTTTGAATTGTGGTACCTTTGTCTTTGGTCCATCGCTGGCCTGCTTCCCATCTCTCTCCTGCCTTGGAGAGCCCCTCCTCTCACCCATCCTTCAGGGAGGAGACAGTGTGTCACCTCCTCCAGGAAGTCTTCCTCACTGACCTAATCGAACGTACTGTTTGCTGAAGGTCTGTGGGGTTAAGAGTCCCAGTGCCTGACAGCACCTAAGGCTGGGAAATATCACTTGTCAGGCTGTCAGGGAGGCTCTTACCTCCTGTAGGACAGGTGGGCTGGCCATGGGCAGGGCCAGCACACAATCCAGATGTTTCCACCTGGGTCTCAGTCACCGAGTTTCTAGACAAGCTGGAGATACCTTTGGGCCTCTTTCTGTCCTCTCTCCCCTCCATGGAAACATCCCTTCCACGGCTCCAGGCCCACCCTACTTCCTACCCTTATCTACCTGGGTGTTCACCACAGATGTGCTCCTCTGCCCAGCCATCTGGGTAGTCTACACATCTATGCGACTGGGGTGGCAGGGCCACCAGCTCCCCTCATCAGGACCCCCTTTTCTACCCTCCCAGGCCCCAGTGCCGTCCAGCACCTGGTCTAGACCCCTTCATGCCCACTCACCATATAGAGCTTCTCTTCCCCCTGCAGTCATCAGCCTCTCACTGACAGCCCTCTGGGCCTTCTTAGAGAGTCAGTCTTGGTGGGGCTCACGGTCCTGCAGGCTCTGGCCAGGTCTTCTGCCTCTGTCTAACCATTAGGACCGTGTCTGCAGGATGGGGCTGCCCCTTATCCCAGGCACACTGTCTGACCCCCCCACCTGGTGCATCCCCTCGGAGGTGACTGGGTGAAGACCCTGGCCCTTATGGGACTGCCAGACACCCCCTCCCTCAGGCTGGCTGGCCAAGCCTGGGACAGCAGGTGGCTGGGGTATCTGTGGCCCCTGCCCCCCGGTCTGACACCAGTGTGTATCCACAGCTGTGGCTCAGCTTCGCGCCCGTGGCCGACACGATTGCCCACCACTTCTTCCTCTCCACCAAGCAGATCAACTGGCTTTCGCTAATCTACCTTGTGGTGTCCATCCCGTCTGGTGTGGTGGCCATCTGGGTTCTGGACTCCGTTGGGCTCCGCTGGGCAGTGAGTTAGACCCCACGCCAGGGCTCTCTCCTAGATGGGGGCAGGGTCCTTGAGTCAGGGCTCAAGAGCCACTGCTTCTTCCCCAGGGGTCTCCAGGCAGAGCCATTCGGGTGGCAGGGCAGGGGCCAGGGTGCTGGGAGGGGAGTCTGGGCTGGCCAGGCAGTGCTTTGACCCCATCCCTACAGACCATCGTGTGCGCATGGCTGAACTTGGCTGGGAGTGTGTTTAGAACCCTGCCCTTCCTGTTCATCGAGATCCAGGACCCATTTCCCTTCCTCATGGGTGGGCAGAGCCTCTGTGCCCTGGCACAGACCCTGGTCATCTTCTCTCCGGCCAAGCTGGCTGCCTTGTGGTTCCCAGAGCACCAGCGAGCCACAGCCAACATGATCGGCACCATGTGTGAGTGGCAGGGCTGAGGCTGACGGTCTTCTGTGGCTTAGTGAGTGGGTCCTGGTACCTCTGCACACCCAGCTCTCAGAGGGCAAAGGGCTCTGGCTATGGGCTGGGGACCAGGCCTGGCCACGGCTGGGCGGACACGTGTCTCCATCTGTCCATCCAGCAAACCCCTTGGGCATCCTGGTGGCCAACCTGCTATCGCCTGCCCTGGTGAAGAGGGAGGAGGATATCCCCATGATGGTGAGGGAGCTCATGGGGCACACACACACGTGCGTGTGCCTGTGTGCCCACACCTGTCTGTGAGTGTGCACGTGCCCCTCCCTGTGACCACATCGGCAAGTGCACTTGGTGCACGCAGGATTTTCCCACATGCCTGAGGTGGACGTGAGGGCGAGGGGTGGGGGCTGCAGCCAGAGGCCAGTGTGTCTGCTGAGCAAAGGAAGGATGGAGGGAAGGGCCAACCCAGGGGGCAGGTGGTTGGCATTGGAAACCCTGGGAGTGTCTAAGGGGAGAGTGATTTGACCTGGTCCAGAGGCTCGGGGAGCCAAAGGCGTGGTTGCGGTGTCCAGGTGGGTTGGGTTGGGGAGCGGGGACAGGCTCAGGCCAGGTTTGGAAGGGCAGGGGGTTCCAGCTGTGCAGCTGGGTACGTGTTGGGGTCATTCACGAAGGCCGGCAGGAAGGTTCAGTTGGCGGTTGAATGGGTGAGTCTGGGGCCCTGGGAGAGGGCTGGCTAAGGGTGTCACTGTGGGAGTCATCTATGGGTGATACTTTGAAAGCCAGGGTTCTAGAGGAAGCAAAGCAAAGCAGGCCCTGGGGCTCGCCTTTGTCTGTCGGCAAGGCGGCAGTGTGCCCAGAACAGTGGGTGTGAAGCCCCATGCACGTACACATGCACGCACGCACACACACACACTCAGGTATGCCCTCTCCCCAGCTGGGCATCTATATCATCCCTGCCGGCCTTGCCTGTCTCCTGGCCATTGCCTGCCTCTGGGAGAGTGTACCTCCTAGCCCACCCTCTGCAGGGGCCGCCCACTCCACCTCAGAGAAGTTCCTGGATGGGCTGAAGCTGGTTAGTGCTGTGGGATCCAGGGCGGGGGTGACCTGGTGCAGGGAGGAGGCTGAGGAGGGGAAGGGGGACAGGACAGGCTGGGGTATCCTGAGTATCCCGCTGGGGCTCCTTGCTGAGCGGTGTCTCCTCCTCCAGCTCTTGCGGAACAGAGCCTATATCATCCTCGCCGTGTGTTTCGGGGGCGGCATCGGCATCTTCTCCAGCTTCTCGGTCCTCCTGGAGCAGGTCCTTTGTGTGAAGGGCTACTCCAACGTGAGTGCTGGCTCCACCCAGCCCCCCTCTCCTGTGCAAGGAGGGGCTGGGGGGCCATTACTGTTAGCCTGAAGGCTGTCTGCCCCAGACACTGGGTTTCCACGCCTGGACAGGGTAACCTCCTCTTGTGGGTGGTATTGAGATGTTGTGTGTGAAACGTTGTGGCAGGTGCCAAATACAGTCTGATGGTGGGGTTGTGGCCCTGGGGAGGGGTGGTGGCGGTGCCCAAAGAGGTACTGGGATTTTGTGTGGTGCTTTTCACTATCTTTCCCAATGCCCCACTCAGGATGGCCCAACCCTGCGGGTCTCCAGGGAAGGGTCCTCTTCTGATACTTGGAGATTGGGAGGGCCTTGCTCTGCTCATAGCATCTCTGACCTTGCCCTCTGCTGTCTGGCATCAGCCCTAGGTGTGGGATTCAGGCCTGGTGTGTTCCCAACTCAGGAGGAGCACACAGGCCCTGAGGCCCTTTCCTTTAGCAATTGTTGAGTTCCCGGGGTGGGGTGCCATAGGAAAGAGGCACCTGCAGGGGAGGACATGCCGTCCCTCACTCATGGCTAACCATGCAGCTGAGCCTTCCATGTCACCCTGCCATGGGCTTCTCGGTGATGGCGTATGCCCGGAGGATGGGCTCCTTCTCCTGGGGCCCTGGTAGCACCGTGACCCAATGATGGGGCACCCCTGACCTTCTCTCCTCCAGGAATTTGCAGGCCTTTGCGGGGCTCTCTTCATTGGGTTTGGAGTCCTGGGGGCACTGGTTCTCAGCCTGTATGTGGACCGGACCAAACACTTCACTGAAGCTGTCAAGATTGGCTTCTGTCTGACCTCCATGGTCTGCGTGGCCTTTGCCCTGGTGAGAGTCCCCTTGAACCAAGACCACCCTACAGGCATGCAGGTGGGATGCTCTGGGGGCAGGGCAGCTGACAAATGGGTCAAAGCAGACATTCAGACCTTCTCAGGCTGGGGCACTGCCCACTGGGGTGGCCCCCTGACCCTGGGCACTGCCCCATCCCTGCTCCCTGCTCAGCTGAGAGAGGGTGCTGGTGCAGGGCCTGCCTGGGCCTGGGTGTCCGGGGCTGTGCACTCTGACTGCTGCCCTGTCCCTCTGTGTGGCTCGCTGCCCCTCAGGTGTCTCAGCTGCAGGGACAGACCTTCGCGCTGGCTGCCCTCTGCTCACTGATGGGGTTCTTTGGCTTCTCGGTGGCGCCCATTGCCATGGAGCTCGCCGTTGAGTGCTCCTTCCCTGTGGGGGAGGGTGCAGCGGCAGGCCTGGTCATCGTGCTGGGGTGAGTGTCTGTCCCTCCACCACTTCCCTGGGGACCCCAGAGACCTTCTCCTCACCCCGCCCCAGGCTACACAGTGGGTGACCTGCCTGCTCGGGCAGAGGCCACCACATTGTGAGCTGTGTGCTGCCCCGGGCTGGCTGCTGTGCCCACATGGGCCAGAACAGGACACTGCCCTCAGAGTGACCAATGGCCATGTGAGTACTGAGCAGTGCCCGGGGCAGGGCTGAAGGCCTTGTGGCTGTCCAGGCAGGCCGAGGGTGTGCTCGTCATGGTCCTGCTGACTGGCCTGACCACACGTCGCGCGGAGCCGTCTGTCTCCACCTGCCAGGATGGCCAGGGCCCACTGGACTGGATGGGTGAGTGCCCCCGCCTGCATAGAGCCCCCAAGGGCACAAGCGAGGAGGTCAGTGCCTGGGCTCCCCACCACCCTCTCCAGCCCTGGAACCTCCCCTCCATGGGCCCCTTTCTTTTGGCACCTTTCACTCTCCTTGGCATGTGCAGGACACCCAAGGGGCAGGGGTGCGGGGGGGCGTGTCGGAGGGCAACAAGGCTGACCTTTCCCCTCCAAGGCTCACTATGGTGGGAGCAGCCCTGAGACCCTGGTGAAAGCCCAACATTTAAACCCCATGTGAGTCGTTTTAAAATGAGATCAGGGAAAGAGACAGACAGAGAGGCCGAGAGAGACGGGGGTGAGGACGGCCACATCTGCAGACCCTGTACCGGTGACCTTGGAGCTCACCACACCTGGGTCTGTGAACTGCCCTCAGGGCCTGTTTCCAGGGCACTCTGGTCATGGCTAGTGGGGTCAGTTGGGGTTCTGCTAGCTCTGTGGCTACTCTGGGTCAGGGGTGGGGAGCTCTGGCTGCTTGGGCAAGCCTCAGAACAGAGCTGGGCTGTGTCTCCCTAGTGTCCATGCTGCTGATGGCTGGCCTGTGCACCCTCTTCAGCTGCTTCCTGGTGTTCTTCTTCCATACCCGGTACCGGCGCCGACAGGCTGAGGCCAATGAGAGCCACTCCATCCAGGAGGACACGTCCCCAGAGGCTGCAGATCACGCGCCCTGCCCGGCAGCCGCCCCCTGAGGCTCCACTCGGCCACACCCCCACGACCTCCAGCATGGACTGTAGGAAGCTCAGGGGCAACTCATTCCTAGAGCCCTTCTCCTGGCCCTACCTGCTTGTTCGGGGGAGCCCTGAGCCGCTGGAGCCCCCAGGACTTGCAGAGAGGTCACAGGGGTCCCTGCAGAGTTCTGGAAGCCAAAAGAGCAGTTGGTGCATCAAGAAGTGGTCCTGGGGCCATGAAGGGGAGGCCAGGAGGGGTAGGCTCTGGTCACAGGGTGACAGCATCCCGCAGATGCCAGAGGGCCTTGGAGTCCTCGGCACACCCAGAGCGCAGCAGGATGGCCTAGGGGAGACCCCGTGGCTATAGCATGAACTGCTGGTGCTGTGTGGACAAGCAGCCACTGGCCAGGCAGGTGCCCCAGTGGCCAGGCCAGACCCAGGGTGGTGGCTGGTGCAGGAGCAGTGTGTGGGGGATGGACCTGGCATGAGGGACAAGGGCTGGTGGGGAGCTGGATGGATTGGGAGTCCTGAGGGCCCCCGGCATGACTGAGTCTGGAATGGACACTTGTGAGAAATGCCTTCCTTGAGGAATCCCAACCCATAGCTTTTCTCAACCTCTGCTGACCACTGAGTGACCTGACTCCCAGCATGAGTGCTAGGACAGCAGGTGGGGTCAGGCTGGGCTGGGAGGGGGAAGCAGAGGGAGGGCCCTACAGGCAGATCGATGCTCCCACCCCCACCAGACCCTTCCCCTCCAGACTCTCCCAGTTCCAAGCAAACACTTCCACCCCCAGTGGACCCTCCCCCAAACTCTCCCCACCACGGCAGACACATCTCCCACCCCCAGGCAGAGGTTTCCCACCTGCAGACCCTCCCACCCGCAGGTGGACCCCTCCTCCTCTCCCTCTGCAGACACTGGCAGGCAGGTTTGTGGGTTCATGTTTATTGAACTGGCTGCAGCCCGGGTGCGGATGGAGGAGATGCCCCTCATTCCTCCTTCTCCTCCCCGTGGGTGAGCACGTAGCTCAGTGCCTTATAGTCCAGGTTGCCTGCAGCATCGATGGTGGCAAACTGGAACATCTGGTCAACCTGCAAGCCGGTATGGTTGGGGGAGTCAGGCCCAGGGACGAGGGGAAGGAGCAAATGGTCTGATGAATTACAGGCACCAAACTCCAGCCAGCTCCAGTGTTGTTTTTGCTTGTGGGGGTGGGGGAAAGGGAGGTGGGGGGGGAATCACACGGCAGAGCCAGGGGCGGGGCTGGGGTATACTGCCCACCCCATTGCTGCAGCCTCTGGGGGCCCAGGGTGAATCCCCCTAGCTAACTGCCCACCCCCTGGAGCCCAGAGGGCTATCCTTGAGCTTCACAGAGGGGCATGGGGGAAGGAAGTTGGGGGAGGGCAGAGTGGGCCAAACCTCTTCAGCGGTCATCTTGTCTGCCTGGGACATCAACAGCCGCTTGATGCTGAGGACAAGGAGGGAGGAGCCAAATTAGGCTGCACTGAAGAAAGGAATTGGCAGGGGAAGAACTGGAGGGGTGGCCCCAGGGAGCCCCATGACTTGGGTCAGTTCACATCATTGGCTCTTCCATTGTGGGATACCCCAAGGCGGGGGTCTGCTCACCCTTCAGTCCCACCCACTCACAGCACAAGTGCCTCTCAGAAGCCTGGCTAAAGCCTGGGCACCAGGGAGTGGTCATCAGGGAGTCTTTCCTGACTCACTCGCTCAGGGGTCACCACCCCTGGTGGGTGGGGGGCTCCATCTGCAGGGAGGAGACTGTGGGAGATTAGAGGCAAGTGCCTGGTACACCAGATATGCCCACTTGGCTGATTTAGCCCCCAAAAGGACTTAAAGACCCAGTGATGGTCCAAGTGGTGGTGACCAGCTGAGTCCCTGGGTGCCCAGCCCTGTGTAGACAAGACTGGTTTTGTCCTCAGTTACCCTGAGGGACTCAGGATCTTGGGGCAGGCAGCCCAAGGCCTGGAGGCTGGGGTGGGGTGAGGGGAGGTAGGCTTGGCATCCCTCGGGGGAGATGTCCAGGTGCCTATAGCCACACTCACTAGTCCTTGTGGATGCTGCCTTTGCCATCGGGATCCAGCATCTTGAAGGCATTTAGGATGGTCTCCTCGGCATCCGTACCTGCCCACAAAAGGCCTTGAACCATGGGCTGTTTTGGGCTCCGGTCCTGCTCCGGGCCACCCCAAGGCTTGGCCTGAATGACCGTCCAGCTCCTGAGCACCTGGGAGACCCTGCAGCTCCCACTCTGAGGGGACTACTCTGGGGGTCCCCAGAATCCTGCCCAGGCCCAAAAGTGGAGTGAGTGCTCAATGAGTGAAGGACAGAGGCTATCACCACGAAGCAGACAGGAGGAAGGTTGAGCTCACGTGCCCCCTGGGTGTGTGACCCACAGACGTGGGTACCAGAACGTCAGGTCCTAGGGCTTTTCAGCAAATCTGAAAATCTGGATTTTTATGTGAAATGTCTGGATTTCTAAGTGTTAGGAGCTAACAGTCTGTCTTGGCAGACTGGCCTGAGGGCTGCCCCTAGCCAGGGAGGAGCCTGGACCCATGGTGCTCACCACCCCATGGCTATTACCTGTCAGCTTTGCCCCAAACATGTTCAGGAACATGGTGAAGTTGATGGGCCCTGAGGCCTCCTTGAGCATGGCATCCAGCTCATCATCCTTGATGTTGGTTTTGCCTGTCGCCGATACAAGGCATGGGCAGGAATGTCACACCCCCCCGGCTGTCCTATTGTTGGTGTGTCTGCTGTCCCCACTGGTTGCCCACCTCTATCATTCAAAGTTGGGGAGGCCAGAAGGAGGGAGGTGAGCCAATGGGGGATACTTGGCCCAGGTGTGGTGGCCCAGGTCTGCATGTCAGCAGAACCCCAAACCCTGAGCCCTGGGGAGATGGGCAGCTGAGGAGGAGGAAGAGGCCATGCATGGAGCCCAGGAAGACCTGTGATCTGCTTACCTGGGTGTAAGGGGGCCCAGAGGAAAGAAACCTACCTGTTCTCCCCTGGGATTGCCTCAGGCTGAGAACATGCCCCCAGATGGGAAGTTGAGGGAGAAAGGCCCAGCCTTTGGCTCTTCAGAGGGGCATGATCTGGCCTCCACGTCCTCCAAGTTCTATTTCTGGGCTCCCTTACCATGCTTGGGGGAAGGAGGTCAAGCCTCCCCATGCAGTGGTGTCCCTCTGGGGTGTTAGCCCCTCCCTGGAGCTTTGGTCCCAACCTCCTCATCCAGGATACCCATGCTTGGGCTGTGCCACCCACTCTGTGATGCCCTGATCAAACCAGAGGGATTTCTCCCCTAGGGGAGGCCCAGCCCACATCCTCGCAGCCCATGAGGAATGGGATGTCAGGTCAGGCTGTAAGGCCCAGGTACAGAGCAAAGCTCTCCAGGACTGGAGGACATTCTGAGGTGGGTTTTAGAGAGCTCTGTCCCACGGCACCTACCCAGAGAGGCGTAGGTGTCCTTCAGGTCCTCCTTGTCAATGAAGCCATCTCGGTTCTGATCCATTAGTGTGAATGCCTGAAACCGAGGCCAGGGTCACTGGGTTGCCAGGCTGGCCACACCATGTTAGGACAGGCATCTATTCTCACTGGGTCTGGAGTGAGGCTCACGTAGGGTCTTTTGGTCACCTGCATTACGATTCACAGGGGACCCCTTGGGCAGGAGTTACTGGGTGGAGGGGTCCTGGGACAAAAGCAAAGCCTCACCTCCTTGAACTCCTGGATCTGGGTCTGCTCAAAGTTGGAGAAGACGTTGGATGATGCCCTCTGGGCCCGTAGGCCACCCCCTTCCTTCTTCTTAGTCTTCCTGCTGGCCTAATGTGAGAACACCAAGGCTAAGGGGTCTCCAGGCTGGTGTTTTGGAAGACAACACAGAGGACAGGTGGGCTATGGCACTAGGTGCTCCAGGGGGACCCCAAACCTGGGTCCCTGGGCTGGGGCAGCCCTGACAAGGTCCTAAGAGCACTGTACCCAGGGCTCGTCTTGAGCTTTGTCCTGCTCCATCTGCCATCCAGCCAGGAGCCAGCTGGGCCTGAATGTCCAAGGAGCAAATGGACTGTGCAAGTAGCCAGCAAGTGGGTGGGCCAGTTCTAGGAATCCCTCCAGTGTGAAGGCCAGGACCCTCCATCTTCCAGCCCCAGATGTCACTGAGGCAGCCATGGGGCACAGATCTTCCCCACCTAACACCCTTACACATGTAAACAAACTCAACTCTTGTGCACACACACTCCCACAGAACACACTCATGTAGGCAACACACGTGTACACACAGTCCCAAATGCACACTCACACTCGATCCTGCCCCGGTGGCCTCCTGGCCACACTCACCATGCCTGGTTCTGCCTGATGCGATGGTCTGTGCCCTCCTTGCCCAGGTCACCCGTCTTAAACTCCTACCCAGTCCCCCAGGACAGCTCGGACTCCGGCTGCCGCTCCCTACAAGGACAGGCCCAGGGCCACCCTGGGGACTGGACAACTGCAGAGTGAGCTTTGGCACCTGGCGGGTGACTCAGATGCCGCCATCTTGCCCTGCCCAGCAGGGCCCCCAGCTTCCCAGGCAGCTCACCAAGAAGGCTTTGTTCTCCTGTTTTCTGTGCATCTCCAGGGCCACCTGCATGAGGACCTGGGCAGCTGCAGGAGCCAGAAGAAGGAGTACCTTTCCTAGGTTTGCACAAAGTCACTGTGAGTGGCCTTGGGGGCTGGTGACCAAGTGTTCTCTGAGCATGTTGTGTGCGCCCTCACCTCTCTGCTTCAGTGGCAGAAAAGTCCCAGGGCTCTAGGTATCCCCATGGCAGGGAGCTCCTTGCCTGGCACAGAGTGGAGATAACATTTCTGGGATGGAGGGCCATCCAGATGGGCTGGGCCCTGGACCAAATTCCCCACTACATCATGGCCCAGCAGGCAGAGCCCAGCAGGCAGAGTCTGGGCGGGAGACCTGGTGCCGGATATTAGAGGTCACCACAGGGTCAGGGGCTGGGTGCCCTAGTCCTGGGTTGCGGGGAGTGCAGGTTAGGGGCAGGAAAGGGTGGGAGTCTATAGGCTGAACAGAAGGAGAAGGCCTGGGGGTAGAATGAAGAGGGCAGTCAGGACTGCAGTTTCACACCTGGAGAACAAGCCCTCAGAGCCCCTTGTTCCTGTACCATGGGCGGGGGTAGGCATCAGCAGCAGGGGTCCCCTAGGGCACCTCTGGGAACCACATCACATGTGAGTGCCACCATGGCAGGGGTCCTGCCCCCAGGGGCACACCCCTTCAGTCACATGACACCTCTGAGGTGCTGCCACATGTGATCCCAGGGGCAGACACCATTTGCCTGCCATGAGTATGGGACAACAGGCACCCCGTGGAACTTGGGGAGGCATGACCCACTGCGGGGACCTGGGGGCTCCCTTGGGTTCGGCCTGGAGGACTCCCAGAGGGAGAACATGTGACTAACGTGGGAGACCTGGGCTGGGCTGCATTCCCAGTTGGGCAGGGTCTGACTGTGATGCTTGGAGAGACCCTAGCAGGGCTGTAGGATTGGGACCACAACATTGAGAAGGGAAGACAGGCAGGATCTGTGCTCAGAAGGCCTCTGATGTGGGGAAGGCCAGAAGACAC